AGGGAGCCCGACATGGGACTCGATCCCAGGACTCCAGGATCATGACCTGAGCCGAAGGCAGTCGCTTAACCAACTGAGCCACCCAGGCGCCCCGCATAATGTACACTTTTAAAATTATCACTCCCCTACAAACGTGCATAACGATGGACAGACTGACTTATGTACCAAAAACATTTCAAGAATAATAATGCATATTTTGCCATCAATGTTTTTACTAAATTCTGTCTAAGGTATCCAGGAATTGAAACTATATGGGGACGTTAAAAAAAAAAGGTGGGGGTGCCTGGGTGGCTCAGTTGGTTAAGCATCCAACTCTTGATTTCAGCTTAGATCGTGATCTCAGGGTCATGAGATGGGGCTCCAGGCTCGGTAGAGAGTCTGCTTCAGATTCTTTCTCTCCCTCTCCCTCTGCCCCTCCCTCTTGCTTGCATGCACATTCTCTAATAAAATCTTTAAAAATTTAAAAAAAAAAGAAACAATTGATTTTGAAATACTGACACCTAAAACTATAAAGATTCAAAACTAATCATGAATATTAAAATAATACTTGAAATGAATAAGAGCTACTTAAGATTTCAAGGAAAATTACTCTCCCCTCTTCTCTCAGTATTATGTTTGAACAACGTTTATCATTTATCATTTCAACTTTTATCTCACTATGTTTATAGTATTGCTTTATTAGGATGACTGGTCACAATTTTAAGTCATTCAAACAATAATGACAAAATTTTAAGTTTATTTTTTTTTTAGTAATCTCTATACCCAACATGGGGCTGAGATCAAGAGTTACATGCTCTTCTGACTAAGCTAGCCGGGCGCCCAGTAATGACAAAATTTTAAATCCAACCAGTTGTCTATCATTGAGTATATTTTATTTTTATGTTATTCACCTCTACTTACCTGAGAAATGGAATATAGAAAAAAAAAACAGAAATAGAAACAATAATAGAGATAGAAATATCTTAGAAATCTGGGAAAGGGGTGCTTAATAACAGAATGCATAACTGTTATTTCTCCACTCCATTACAAAGTATAGTAAAAATGTTTCTACAAAGAAGATATTACTAACGTAAGAAAAATTATCTTGGCTGGCACTGAAAAATACAATGGTATTTTAATTGTTAAGAAGGGCTCACTTAAAAAGTCTAAACTTTTACATCAAGGGTCAGCAAACTATGGACTAAAGGGTCAAGTCCAGCCTGTCATACGTTTTTGTAAATTTATTGGAACTCAGCCACACGGTTTGTTTACGTATTGTCTCTAGCTGCTTCCCTGTTACTATGGCAGAGTTCGAGTCCAGCAAAGCCAAAAACGTTTTATTATCTCGCCTCTCCCAGAAAACGTTTGCCCATCCCTGATTTATATGGTTTGTTAGGCTTGTGTCACGAGAGAATTTCCAAAACTTAATGAACAGAAATAAACATTTTAGTAAGACTGAAAAAAACCCAGTGTTGGACTGGGTTAATGAGAGCCTGCATTTCTGAAGTCACCTGACCTCGTGATGAACAAGAAATTCAGGGACTGACTAAATCAGTAGAATTTAAATAAGGGTGCTCCTAGGGAATGAAGAAGTCTCAGGAGAGCAGCGAGCCTCACCTTTGCTGGCACTGATGGTCTGCAGCACCATCTCAGCTGCCCCGCGGTCATGGAGCCTGGCTTGTTGGTAGAGAAGCTTTTGCTTTTCCATTTCTTTTTCCTGAACACAAATCCCAATCATTTATGTTGTGGCTATCATTAAGCATAGCAGCTTTCTATAAACCGTATTTTTAGTCATCTCTTCATGTATGGGCTCTATGACAACATTATGGACCATTTCAACACCAACAATGTTATTCAACAGATGTTAACAATATTCGACTCTCGGTTTTGCCCCTTCATATTTTTCTTGATATGCTTTTGGTACTGGCTCATCAGGATGGATTTTCTCAATTGTAATTGTTTGATCAGTCCAAAGCCCGTATCACAGTTTTGAAGTACTATACTTCGTCACTGAAACTTGCACTTTCTGAATTATACATTTGTGCATCAGTTTGTTACGTTTTCAATCATCTCCCATGCCATGGCCGTAACTTGATACTGCTCAGCAAATGGCTCGAGTTGCAAGTTATCACTGAATGACAGAAAAACATTCACTGAGACGTGTTGGCGTTTAAGCAAAATTGAAAGTTGATATGAATAAAAAGGTAGGCTTCCACTAAGTAGCGGACTTATGATACACATCTCCCCAGTCACCCCCCAAGAATAAAAGAAGCAGTGTGCCTTTATATTTTGTATTCTCTGGTGGTAACAACGATACTGCATGGTGCTGCTAGTGCAAATGGCTGGGGTTTGTTCTTTTCCACTTAAACTACCACTGAAAACATAAAAAAGAAAATAAAAATAAAATATAAAGGCACAGCAAGTTCAAGACTGGTAGGATCATTCACTTGAGCTATCCAGTTCGCTGGAGAATTGAGACGGAACTAAGCAGTATAAGTTGCAAAATGAAAGTTGCATAGAGCCCTAGGACAGCGAGTCCATCAAATGGCGTGGTAGAGAAGCTTAGTCAATGGGACATGAAACAGTCAATTAGTATCATGTCCATAACACAACGGCCAAAACATATATGACCTAAGAGCAGAAAGAGCTGCAGCAGAAGTAGCCAGAGTGACAGTTTTGCTGCCATAAACTTTCCATCCAAAGTACAGAAAATAGGCAAAGGAAGATGGAAGAGGTTTAAAAAATGAAGGCTTGCTAGTTACAGAATATGAAAAAGAAAGTAAACTAAAAGGAGGAGGGGGGAAAGAAATGGGCTCAAACAAATGAAAAAAGAAACCTTCAAATCAAAAGCAACCGACACAGACATTTATGCTGTTACCAGAGAGTTCTCGCCGAGGCTGGCAAATTTGTTTCTTAAATCTTTGATAATATCGTGCTGCGAAAACAAAATTGATCAGGTTTTGTTTTTTTTTTTCACACTATAGTTAGAGCTCCTGTGGTTAAAGTTTTATTTTTTTCTTAAATTATGTGATAGGTCTAAATGGAAGCAGAGAAAAGGAAAAAGAAAAAAAAAAAAAAAAGAGGCAGCTTTGCTTTATATGTAGCCATGCTAACATCTAAAAGGTTTGCCTTCATGTTTAAACCTCTTCCTGCAGAGTCAAGAACAAAACGAAAACAAAACCACACAGACAACACAAAACCATATTGTCATTACAACACAGTTTCAGAAAAACTGAAAGAAGACCCTTTCGCCTGCTCTTCAGGTGTGGTTTAAAATTGGTCAGCAACATTTGATCCCTCCTTTTAGACCCAACAATCTTTCACTTTCCTCCTGTTGCCAGAGCTATGTAAGAACTTTGCACTTCTGCTTCCCAGGGTAACCAATGCCTTTCGTGGAAGACGTTTTCAGGAAGACAGTGATAAGAAATTACTGGCTAAGGAACCGCCCTATCGCTTTCATCAACTAAAGAGGCGAGGGAATTAGAAAGACTGATTTTTCTAGTGACCCAATAGAACATATGAAGATAGTCATCAGGAAACCCAAAGAAGAGACAAGATGGCAGCATGCCGTATATTCTTGAGGAAAACAAACAAACAAACCACAAAACCCTTTGCTGTTTGTGCTCCAAAAGTAGGTGGACCACCTCAAAGATCTGCTAGAACCACTTCTACAGTACATATTCTAGACCTCTTCAGTAATGGAAATCATGCCTGACGGATCAACGTCAGGAGGATCAAGAGACAGACAGCATATCAAATTGCCTTCATTAAAAAATAAACTCCCTGGGCAAAGATCACCCTCATCTTTCTCACAATGCATCTAAAAATCAGTAATAATAAATACTTCCGGGGAGATGATGAGATTCATATGAAAAAAAAATAAGCTAAAAAAGATACACTGATCTAGAAGCAGGAAACCCATACTTCATAAAGAGGGATCAGGTCAACCTCTCGGTTGAGTTTCTTCTTTGTCATACTGAGTTGGAAGCTTTCTCTTCAGAAGATATTTAATATTATTTCTTTCCGGTACTGTGTCCTTTGAGAAGTGCTTCTGGGCATGTAATTCAATCTCACCATTGGAGATTTTATCACAGCGTAATAAAATAAAACCTTGAAAGCTTAACCAGAAAGTTTTCAGACGATAAAATGATGGATTATGTGGAAAGAAAGAAAATTCTTTAATTTCAAATTTACTGCAGATTAGCTTTTCTAAGAAAACTGAAGATAGATATTTTTAAAGTATTTTACTTGGGGAAATAGCACCTTGAAAGGACCTTTTTAAAGCAGCTTTTTAAAGTAGGATTCCTGCCCCATCCCAGATTCCGCCTAAACTGCCAAAGGGTCTTAAATAAACATTATACTTCTACTTGAAGTTCAGTCTTTCAATGATTCTAAGGTTACAAAAAAGGTTGGGGTGGGGGGAGGAGCTCCACAATTTCAATTTTCTCTCAGGCAAAACGTTCTGATCACCAAAAGCAACTAGGAATTATCAGCTGTTTTCCTAATAAGACTGTTACGAGTCTTTTCAAGGTCAGTGGTGGTAATAAATCAGACCTATGATTAAATTGCAGACATTGAATGGGAAGTATTCTACATCATGATCGCTTTTAGTATGACTGAAGTTGGTAATAAAGGTGCTAATATTCTTTCATTTTTTCCCAGGGTGCCTTGCTTTTAGCAATTCATGTGGGGGGGCCGGGGAGGGAGTAGAAGGCCTGAAGAAAAAAAATCCATTCAGTTCTTCAAAAATTTGTCTTATATGAGAAAAATACTGAAATAAAAAAAAAAAATTACAACTGCCCCTTGCTCCTTGATGGAGAAAATAGTTTATCTCTATGATGGAGATAAACGATATTTTAAAGGAGAGCAGCCTTTTGACAGCAAAACTTGTACCCTGTTTCTGATGGGCCCTCCTCAGTGATGTGGGCATTTTGGGCGGTTTGTGCATCACAGCTCAGTCTGTGCCTAACACCGCATGAGCCCAGTGGGCTTGCTTTTTTTCCTTTGAGTTTCCAAGCCTTCAGCAACTGCTGAAAAAGTTTTCACAATGTTTTTCTCTTCAGCTGCATGTGGAAGCTACCTGTAAGTGAACAGAAATCTCCAGCAGCCGAATTCTTTTTAAAAATCTTTCCCATAATTTTGCAATAAGTCAACATTAAATATTCTTCTGATTTGGTATCTTAAATGTAGTCATAACCTACAAGGTGATGTTGAATCTCAACATGATAAGAAAAAAAAGATGGAAATACAGGAGATTCAATTGGGTAACTATGAGGACAAAAGCGAACGGCAGTGAAATGGTAGTAATAACTTGGTTTACGACACAAACAGGCCAACTCACACTAAGGGAAAACAAAAATATAGATAAGAGTTGTATTGTCCATTTCATTAATTTTGTTTGGTATTCTAGTTTCTGATACTGTAGGTTGGCCACATACATAAAGAATTGACTTGCAGTGCTAGGAAAACACTTAAGATTCTAACTTTGTTTAAAAATGGATGGTCCCTCAAATTTATCAATTTTAAATTTTTTTTAAAAAATTAAATGAATGTATATGGAGTTTCCTACAAGTAAGTTGCCATGAGGACAGGGTCTCCAGAGGTTTTGTTTGCTTGTTTTAACCACAACACAAGTGTACATATACCATATATCCAGTAAAGTTCCCTGCACATAATAGGTGTTCAAGAAAATGTGATGAATGAATAACGGAACTAAATAATGTGGTATCATGTAGCATCTATAATCTGAAGTGACAAATGTTATCTTTTCATTTGAAGAGCTACAAAGCTAGTAAAATGAGAAACGTCTAGTTTGTTTTTGGTACATGGTCAAAGAGGTCGAGAATTATACACATGCGAACAATAATTCTCAAACTGTGGTTTTTTTAGGTCAATTAATTTACTGTCTGTACCTTTATTACCCATTGTCTTTGTTGCTGAATACTGAAGAGTATAATAATCTTCCAGAGTTCTATTTTTCAATAGGATGGGCATAATTTCTAATGCTCTCTCTTTAACAACAACAACAACAAAAAACCAAAACACAAAAAACAAAAAGAAAGAAAGAAATGTTTTTACCCAAAGCAAACTTTGTTTAAATGCTGAAGTTTTACTAATAGACAATCAGAGAGGACAAAAATTCTAAAGCAGAAAAATGTAGTCCAGTTAATGTGTTGGAGGCTCTAAAGTTTAGATGTGCTGTGTAGTGTGACTATGGCTTACTTCTTTATCATTTATACTTCCACGCTCGTTAAAATATTGTTTCCCTTGGATTCAGCATATTTAGTCTAATTAGCACTACGCTAAAACAATAAAATCTAGCTGCACTGAAATAATTTTCAATTTCAGAGTCCTGTTGACAAAATTTATACTACATCACAAAAAGGTTCACAAACAAACTATAAAGCAGGAGGGGAAAAATGAGCCACTATAAAATCAGAAGGTATCAAATTAGCAAGGTTAGACTGAGTTATCATTAGAGGGAATGGGGTTTGTTCTGAGCACAAAACTGATTTAGAACAGGCTTCATTTACGTATTTGTTTGTTTAAGCCTTAAAAGCACCGAATACTGCCTTGAATAGAGAAAGAAAATGCCATGTGGTTCTACTAACATAGCCCGACAAAACAAAGAATAAGAACAATAAGGTGATTGATGACCTCTACTAATACGAAGTTACGACTGGATCATGAAGGTGCCAGAATGTTGGGATAATTTGC